TCAAAATGTCCCTTCTCCCATTGAGAAAGTCAGCGATGACAAATCACAAATGAGGTGATAGTAAGCACCTAGTTTACTATAGTAGACGTGTAGTGTAGTATTCATTCATATAGTTACCCGTATCCCTTGTTATGGGTTTGTGCACTGAAGAGTTTGACAGTTCTTTCTGTATTCATTTAAATGCACTTTGTAATGTGTCTGGGTCAAATGTGACCAAAACGTATGATTTTTTTGTTATTACTTGAAAAGTGAAAAAATAGTATTGCTACAGTACCACCTCTTTGTGTTGCATTGGAGCTCTTTAGCTGTTTTTTTTGTATGTGAGGACATTTATTAAGACTGCTATTATTGTATTCAGTAAATGCACTTTGTGATGTGCCTGGTTCAAAAAACATAACCTGAATATTTGACTTCTAAAGCAAACAAATGTAATGCTACAACTGTGCACTTTTTTTTCAGATTCTGTTAAATTAATGCTAATTTGTTGTGTTTTTATGCACTTTTTGACCTACCTTTGTTAGATGAACAATGAATAAAAATTGCATGTTTTTCATCGCAGTAATATGTGTTGGTTTAAAATGTGTCACTACCCGCTTTTTACAGGGCACTGAATGTCTGGCCCAGCTGAATTTTGTAGTTATAAAATCTGGCCCAACTGAATGTGTAGTTGAATAGCCCTGATGTAGGGTATTGTTTAGATGTTATCTATAATAAGTGACAGTATGTGTGGCCCGGTTATCTTGCAAATCACTAATTATATATGGTGTATACAGCACTATAGATACAGATCGGAGCTTAAAATATGCTCCTATTCTCACCACCAACATCCAGTGATGGTTCTCGTTCACTGCTTTCATCGCGACGCAATGTTTACAGAGAGAACAGCTGTGAGGTCCGTGCAGAAAGCAGAGCAGTGTGTATAATATATATCACTCAGTATAACAGGCCTACTCTCTTTATTTGCTTTAGTTTAGTAGCTACAAACAAAGAGTCGATATTTTTCGATATTCGATATCCAGTCTCTGATAGTGTTACGTTATTATGAGAGTGCTCTGTTTGATTCTGAAATTGTATATATTTATATATATATATATATGTGTGTGTGTGTGTGTGTGTGTGTTTGTGTGTGTGTGTGTGTATGTGTGTGTGTGTGTGTGTCCGCATCTGTAGCCTGTTATTGTCTCATTATACCGCACTGTGAATGAATTAAAAGTAAATATATAAGTCGTCATGAACACATNTGCTGTAGGTGTGTTTCCGAGCCGCTCCAACGAGAGTACAACGAGAACGTGACGTCATATTCACACAAGACGGATCCTTTCTAGCCATAACCGCTGCTGTGCCTCCTGTCATCATTAATGGACGTCTCTTTAAAATGACCGCTCAGGGGAGAGGAGTTCTCATTTCTCTAACCGCCTGCTGCTTCCCCTCCTCTCTCCTCGGTTCCCCTCCTCGGCTCCTCCGCTCGCATCTCCTGTGGGCGGGACTAAGTCTCGAGGATAGGAGTCGAGGAGGGGAGTTAGAGAAATGAGAAAGGGCCTGTAGGCTATATATAAAGGTTGAGATGTAAGTACATTTACTCAAGTACCGTTTATTGTATTTGTACTGACATGTTGTAAGCATAGACTGTATACAAGTTGTAAGTGGTGGGTCAGGGTGATACAGTTGTTCGATAGAGATCTAATGAGGATTTTAAAACTGTATCCTTTTATAACAATAATAATAATAATAATAATAATAATAATAATATGATAAAATGTCAAGATGTAATAATTATACTATTATTATTATTATTATTATTATAACATGATGTCTTTGTTTGATATTGACTGAAGATAGACAGACTGTATGCGAGGATATAGGGGTTTAACAATACCGTGGTCACAGTTACAATTTAAACATTGTGCACATGATTTTATTTGGTGATAATTCTACAAGGTATTTGTCAATAATATTGAGATTCCTTTTGTTTCTAAAACGTATCATGATCTTATCATAACATTTATTTACAGTCGTGCGTTTGTCTGCCCTCTAGTGGTCACAATTAGTAACTAAAAGTGAACTCAGCCGATCAAAGTTAGACATAACATTGTTATCACTTCCGGTTACGGCGTTAAAAATACAACGTTTACAGGCTAATGTAGTTACACATTTGACAACATGAGGGCCCTGTATAAACATTTACAGTTTCGTGAACTCTTTCTTTTAAAAAAAACCTTAACTCTAGTGCCAAGCTTAACTATTTCAAATGACAAACTTTTTCATTTAACTTATTAAATAAATAAAAATAAATCAGAGCTCTGCTGCATTACCAAGTCACAGCTTTACCGACTTGTGTCTCTGATTTTACTTTCATTTATATTAAAAGTAAAGTATCATAATTGTAGTGGTACTTAACAAAAATAATAGATACATACTCTAGCTTTATTTTGTATGTACACAGCCAAACAATACCATGAAAGATACAAAAAAACAAAACGAAAATAAGTATATATATTCAAAGAAGTTTGTCAATGATGTGCTTCAAAGTAAACAAACTTGTCCTATTACACCTGAATGCAGCATGACACAGGGGATTCTGATTGGACTGCTGTGTCTCAGAAAAACAGGTTACGCCATATTGTCAGAATCCGAAGAAAGCCTTTCACTTCTGCAAAAATGACAACATAGTACGTGTCATGTTATCTTAAAAACATTTTGATTCTGTATGTGATACAAAGCTCGTTTCTACTATAATTGGTAGTTTAGTGTTAGACGCTAACAGATGATTTAACTGGCGTGGTTAGCTAGCTAGCATAGCACTATTAATGTAGTGAGTGCTGCCGCTCCGTGGCGTCCCTTCTCATATACCTGTCTCCACTCATGTCTCTTTTCACAGGCTGATTTGATCATCTGTAGACAGCTAAGATGGCGCACATTGGGGCAATGGAAAGTGCACCCTTGGATGATGGCTCTGCCCAGCAGGGGTCTAGTATTTGCATGCGAAGTCGACCATGCTCGAGCGAGAGAGACGGCCAGGTGCGGGCTGTCAAAGCCGCTCTCCAGTCCAGGCTGGGGCCCTACGAGCCCGTGCTGACCTACCTACAGTCCGTCCTAGTGTGGGAGAGACCCTTACAGTGTGTGCTTATCTACACGGTGGTCAACGTGGTGTTCTGGTAAGTTTTCAGCTCAAACTTTGTACATTTTGTAGTTCTGTTTCTGTTTTGGCAACCTACATCCAGACAATACAGACAGTGTGTGCTGGTTGTTGGGTGAGAGCCAGTGACCTCAAGCAGATGGTGATTCTACACAATTCAATGTTCACCTGTCAATTCAAAAGAGGGCAGATGGCTGGCTAGTGGCACTATTTATAGACACACTCAGAATCAGATGTAATGGCCGTTTGAATCAGCTCTCTGTGCACATACAAAGAGATAGACTTATATGTTGTTGCTTTCAAAGTGCATACACAGAAAAGACATGCGCGCGCCAAATGCACAATGGTTCAATTAGTGTTAATGCTGTAAGGGGAATCTGTCATCAATCATCTGATCAATTAACATGTAAAGCAACAGGGGGTATTGCACCTTACTTTAAAACATTGCAGCACATCATTGATGATGGTTGTGTATGGTTAATGCACTAAAAACATTTCCACCTTATCTCTCATGTGGCTCCTGGACAAACGGTTTTCTTCCTCTTGATAACAGCGTGGTGCCATTGTGGATTATCTACTTTACCATTTCCATTGAAGCCGTACATCTTAGAAGTATTAAGCCCATGTCCGTGAATAGCAGTTTCTGTTTTACCAATAATATTTTTTCCTCCTTAAAGTCCTAGATAATGTATTTAAATGTCTGTTTTTTTCCATCCGAACCCAAAGATATCTGGTTTAATATGAAATAAATAAGACACTAAGTAAGAACTATTTTTATTTGGGCTGAAATGAAATATGTAAATAGTTGGCGTTTGTTTTCTCTCGCTTAATCTGTTGGTGGAACATCAAGAACCAAGTACAGTAGAAACCAAAAGGAGAGCGTAAAGGATATATTTCGGCTAAATGAAGTGAAATTGATACTGCTGTATGGTGAGAACCACTGACCTGGGAAACTAGGCTGGCTTGTGGAGCTCAGGCATTCAGACATTATTAGATTAGACTTGGAGGCATGTCTCCCTTTTACTTGTGCTTCAAAACACTCAGTGTTGCTGGCAAAGATATACACTAATGATCTGCATGAAGCAACTGACAATGGCAAGTCACATGGAGACGAGGAGGAGATACAGGCAACCATTCTGACTGGAGGTCTGGTTTAACCTTCTTAGAGCACCAAGGGGGAAATGGATATAGCTTACAAAATAATACAATGAAATTGAACCATACAATAAAATGTATCTTCAAACAATGTTGAAGCGTTGTTTTGACACTTTTTTGCAATAATTTGCAAGTTGATATATTGTTATGTGCGTACCAGGGATTGGTTTACTGATACATTTGCATTTTATGTTTTTCCCCAACTAGCTGCTTATTGCAGTATTACCCCAAATACCAACACCCCACATTCTGCCAACACATTCTTTGTTAGGTTAATCTGTAAACGGTGTTGTGGTCAACAAACATTCAGGTTCTCTGAAACGAGTGCATCACTTGGAACACTTGACTTTAAACTTCACCACTTTCACTTTTTTTAGTTCTGAATAAACATCATTACTTTCATAAATTCTGTACTAAGTGATTGAATCTGTGACACTGTTTTGGTAAACTTTGTTTATTATTTACTCATTAAAGGTGTATTTTGCTCATGTATTTGCTTTGTTTTATTGCCCTCCAGGTTCTTCGCCCTGACCTCGCTGCGCCTGCTGTTCCTGCTGGCTTTTGGTCTGGCTCTGATTGTCACTGTTGATACCTGGAGAAATCAAATCTGGCCAGAGATTAGAGGTGTGCTACATGTGACTTTGTATATATTTCTAACAGACTGCTTCTTCCTTTCCCCAGATTGTAACAAGGGTACTTTGTCAGAAAGATGTGCCGTTTATTGACAGCCATACATTCTGGACTTTGCAAGTGATTTATATTACATCTGTAACAGTTAATCTCTCAAACCTGTTGTTGAATTAGAAAGAATTAGAAAGAATTTGTAACTGATATGATAGCTTTTTATTTATTGTATGCTCAGTATGTTTCTGAAAGTGATGAATGTTCTCTCTCTCCACAGTCAGAAACCTGGAAGAACCAGAAAATGAGAGGTGTGTTAATACAGCAGCAAGTATTCCAACTATAATAACAACAACAACAACAATAGTATAAATAGAAAGCCTGGGGTGTTTCCTCACCATTTCCTCTCTTTGTCCAGCTGGGGTCTGGTGCAGCCTGGCGTCCTCAGCGTGCCTGAACTGTGCCACCACATCGCTGAGGCCTGGGTCAGTGGAGCCGTCTTCACATCCAGTGTGGTGCAGTTCAAACAACTTTACCCCGGCAAGGTGAGGGACACCTACAATTTGGAAAAAGTCTCTTTTTAGATCCCTATTTTATTTTATTGCTAAGAATTATATTTGGCAGGTCACAAAAACAGTTGAATGTTAATTATAAAACATTGACTCTTACAGGACCTTCTATAACTCTAACACATTTCAAAATAAACGTTTTCCTGCACATCCACACTTTTTTTTAAAGCATGTTTCAATTTCATGTGAGAACATAATCAAAACAATAACAAAATGGTGTATGTGTGACTGTGATGTTAATCTGTGTGCGACTAAACCATCATGCAGTGTGTACATTTGGCCAGCAAAACAAATGGAAATATGGCACTGATTATAAATATACTGTAGTTGAAGGTCATCAAATATACAGTATATCACAGCATGTGGAAACCGCCTTTTTAAATAGTGTAATTTGTCCGTCACAATTTAATCATCATGCCAAATCAAAATCCTAAGTATTGCCAATTAATTCAGGGAGAAAATCTGACTTGTTTTCTTATCTGAGTTTTTTTCAGTCTGTAATGTTTCTGCTCTCCTATTTGAGTTGTCAGCTGTGTATAACTGCACCATAGTCAGCATGGATTGTAGGAGCTGACTTAATCTCCTGTGTGTGGTTGCTCTGTGTCAGTTCTGCCTCCTGACCTGTGGCGTGTTCACCTGCCTGGCTGGGGTTGGACGCTACATTCCTGGATTAGTGCTCTCCTACTCTGCCTGTGAGTCCCTGCAGTTTATCAGTCCTTACTACAGATCCAGGCTCCTTCACTAAGGCAGGGAAACTGGCCTAACTCGTCCTATTAAAAATACATGGGGGGGTGAAACCTGATCAGTTGGGTCCCGGTTACACAGCCTATCCTGTGAGGTGATTAAATCCAGGATGAGGCACACAAGGAAGGAAGGAAGGAAGTAGTGAGGGAGGGAGGGAGGGAGGGAAAGGGAGCCTAACAGAAAGCTAAGGAGGTCAGCCTGAGACTGGGCTCATCTCCCAACCTCCACCCAGTGTAGGCTGCAGATCCTGGGAGGGCGGCCAAGACTTCTGCTCTGACGCAGAAGAAGGGTTAGCCCAAAAGTAGCAGCCCAAAAGTAGTTCCCGGTAGAAGTTCACATTACAGTTTGGTAATAACATATTGAGTCATGCCTCTGTATGTTTGTGTGGATCTAATATTATCTTAACATTTAAAAAAAGATGCATGTAGTTGGGTATTTTGCAGGCCGGCTAATTTATGGTTATTACACAGAAACCCCTAAGTGGTTGTTTTGGGGTAACGAGTCACAGCGTTAAACATAATTTAATTCGGAACATAAGTAGGGATCAAGTTCAACATTATAATATGGTTATTAGCAATTTGACTTCAGAGACTTTCATGTCATTTTGATCATATTCTCTGATAGTGGCTTAAAATATTGTGAAAAACGTATATTGCCTTATTATCATCAGGTTATAACCCTATTAATGTAATCATATTAACATCGTGTTTTATCCAATTATTGCCGTGATATATATATATTTTTAAAGAAGGTTACCGATACCATTATTACATTAGTTTTATGTAAGAGTTTTGCCTTGTTGTTAAATATACAAGTTTCCACATTGTTACTGGTTGTTTCTGGCCCCATTTGACTCTGTTAAATACATTTCGGTCTTATGTTGCCCACATATACCCATTGTTATTACCAAGCAATTACGTGGCATTACCTATTTATGATGTCTTTATTATCAAACTATTCCCTCCTTCTCTATAATGACTAGTTTTCTCTTCCTCTCCTGCAGTATGGGCTTCTCTCCTCGCTCCTCTGGGAGCCTATTACAGGATTTTTCAGCATGTGTGTGTGAAGCTGGATCCGGTCCTGCAGCGACTGGACTTCAGTGTTTGTGGGTTCATGATGTCCAAGCCTATTGATAATCAGTGTAAGTAGTAAAACACCTTTTATTTAATGTCTGCTACTTTTTATACTTAAAACCTTCAAAGCCCAAGTTGAAAATAAACAAATGGATATCACATGATAACAGTACTGTTCTTCTGGGGGTCATAGTTTGTTTGAATAACATTTCTATGAGGTTCTTGTTGCTGAAATGACTTACATATTAATAATGTGTGACTGGCCTCTGGTGGTATCAAACCAAGTGATGTTGTTTGCACTTAACTCACAGATCACATGCACTGTTAGTGACTGTCAATGTTAAAATGTTGCCTTTGTGTTTCCATTTGTCTGCAGTCCTGCGGAGGCCTCTCCGTGGCCCTTCAGGGGAAGACAGTGACAGCGAGGAGGAGTTGGCTGCTTTCTGCCCAACGGTAAGTCTGTTTGAATCCAAACGTCTCTAAATATTTAAATGACTGACAAATCTGAAGATTTTTGTAAAATAAACCTGGGAAAGTAATTTTTACATTTTTTTTTCTTTAATGTATTTTGTGGATTCCTTATTAACTCTTCAACTTGTAAATAAGATTTGTCTCTATCTCACAACTTACACTAAAATGTGTCATGCTTTGTTAGAGAAGGTAAGAGACAACATAGTCTCTAATAGCTGAAACAGCATAATGTAGAAGTGTTCCCACGTTCACACGCAGTCTGTCTTCTGTAAAGTATGCTTGTTCTAATTATAAAAATAGCTTGAGCCACTTCTTGCTTTGGTTAGAAAGTTCACATCATGTGCTATGTCTCTCATGTGTCATTGTGTGGTAACACCTGCAAGAGATGAGAGAATAGGGGTAGTTTACAACACTTTTTATAGCACAACCTAAGAGTTAATTAAAACATTTAGCATATATTTAAAAAATACAACACATGTTCAACATTTTTATTCTGTTTTCTCTCGTAGTTTGATGATGCTATTGTTGCAAAAGAACTGGCGATGACTGATTCTGAGCACTCCGATGCTGAGATGTCCTACACTGATAATGGGACCTTTAACCTATCTCGTGGGCAGACCCCACTCACAGAGGGCTCTGAGGGTAAGTGCTGCGATTCTCCTCTTCCTTTATTTGTTTTGGGTTGTTCTTGTCCCTCACCGTGTCCCTGTCTGTGTTCTGGTCAGATTTTGACAGGCACAGTGATGCTGAGGAGTCCTTTGCTCAGGACCTCCAAGACTTCCCCTCCATAAACCCTGACGCCACTCTGATGGACGACGACGAGGACACGAGCATCGGTCTACCCAGCCTGGCCATGTCTGGGCTGGCTAGTTACCGCGCCTCAGTGATGGACGCCCATCTGGACTCTGATCAGGAGGATCTGGATGAAGAGCTTTCTCTCAGCGGCCTGCCGCCTGCGTCAGATTTCGCCGGGGAATTGGCCGGAGTCATCGCCAGCAACATGATCCAGGCAGCTCTGGCCGGGGCGCTGCAACCTCGGCCCCCTGCCCCCCGCCGCAGAGAAGGCCCTCCACGGGCTGGAGCCCGTCGGAGCTACCGTAAGCAGTCTAGCTCTGAGCTTGACACAGACTTGGACGGAGAGGACTTTGAAATGCTGGATCAGTCTGAACTGAACCAGATGGACCCCCTCGCAGGAGGAGGGGGTAGTAGACGGGGGGAGAGCCAGGGGTCTAACTTCTTGTCTAACTTTCTGGGTAAACCACAGTAGTGTGTGTGTGTGTGTGTGTGTGTGTGTGTGTGTGTGTGTGTGTGTGTGTGTGTGTGTGTGTGTGTGTGTGTGTGTGTGTGTGTGTGTGTGTGTGTGTGTGTGTTTTGTGTGTGTGTGCGCGCGTGTGTTTGTGTGTGTGTGTGTGTGTGTGTGTGTGAACTTGCTGTGAGTGTGTGTGTGTGTGAACTTGCTGTGAGTGTGTGTGTGTGTGAACTTGCTGTGAGTGAGAGAGGATTTAAGGTTCCAGCAGCCCTGCTTCTGATTAGCATCAGTTAACACTGTGAAGAACCTGATTCCTATTTGTATCTTCTCTAACTCTGTTCTCCTGTACTTTCAAACCCTGATCATCCAGAAAATATTTTCTTTGTAGGCTGAGCAATAGCAATGGCCACAACAAACCTAAACCCCATTCGAACATTAAACAAACCAGCATTATTGAGGCTTGTTGCAGAATTGTGATTAGCAGCACCTTGTCTATAATGTCTGTAAATACAGAACAACAGTGCCCATAACATCTTACAGGGCTATTCAACATGGGACCAAACATGACCTTCCTGTTGGTTAGGCTGAGCCATGTTACTATGATAATGACATTATTGTACAGCAATACATGTTCAAGTTGTTTTGTCATTTGTGAAAGATAAATTAACCCCTCATTGGCTTTCATCAAATGTGACAAAGGAACAGCAGTTCATGTTGATGTTAGTGCTCTGCTGTCCTTAAAGTTATTTAGCCATGCTCTTTTACAATATTTCAGGTTTACAGATTTTAATTAACCGTTTTTAAACACTTTTCAGTTGTTGTGGATTTAGACGGCTATCCTCTTCCATGATAATTAATATTAGGATAAAGGTTTTAAGTTCTCCTTTATGATTTTCTTTCCTGCTGTCTAACATATGAAGGCATCTCAATGTATTTTTGTTAGATTATTTAATTTTTTTTAAATCACCCCTTACAGTCTTAAGATATCTGTCCTGGAGGAACTCTTGATCTTAGGTTTGTTGTTTATTTTATTTAAAGAGTTTTTTTTCCCAGGGGGAGGTCTGTTTCTTTTTCTGTGCAAGTTCAGAATCCTTTTGCTGTTTTCCTGCCCTTTAATACAGCTCGATAATATATGATGTCCATGTTTAATACCTGTGTGTTTCTTTTCTTTTTTAAAGTAATGTTTAAACAAATGTCCTATCTTTTATCATCCTTGAATTTCATGTAGTTGACAGTCATGCTGCATTTTTTTTTTTTTAAGGAGAAAACAATCAAGTATTATTCAATTCATGGATATGTTACTATTTTAATAGGGAAACATGTTTACATCAAAATTGATAATAGAAATGTATCCTTCTGTTAGAGGGTTAGAATGTAAAGGTTTAATGTGGCTTTGTGTGCTGGTCAGCCTGATTTTCTTTTTGATAGACAAATCATATCACTTTACTGCGGAAATGGCACTTAACACTTAAATGAGCCACAGTTGAATTGTATTTAAATGCATGTATCAAAAAGTGTAACATTGCTGGGATTTTAATGGCTGAAAACATTTCTTTAAATGCGTTCTTTTGAGAGGGAAATCATAGCTACAGATGACAAGTTGGCATATAAAACGGCTGGATCCACATTTATGGAGGTGAAGTAAAAAAAGTGTGCACTGATAGATACTTGCTTGGATTTTAGGGTGAAAGAAGAAGGAGGAGGAGAAGAAGTTAGTCTTACTTGTTTGACTTGGTTTTGGCACCTCAGTTAAACAGAATGTTGCTCATCGCTGCTCCATGAAGAGTCTGTTCCTCAGTTTGATAATGTAACGTGCATTTTAGTATATGTTCTTCTCTGTAACTGGTTTTGATGTGAGAATCGTATTGAATAAAACGTTTGCAATTAAGGCTTTCTTTGGTATTATTACATTACAAGGTGTACAGTGATCTCAGATGACGTATACAGATAAAGCTCTTGAGACAATTCTAAAGTTTGTTATTTAAGACAACAATCAACAAACCCCCTGTTTGGAAACCATTTAATATTAATATGTCACAAATATGTTTTTCTACCAACATCAATGAGGTAGATTTTTATTTTAATTCCTACACATTTGCCCACATAAAAACACAGCCTAGATAAATTGGCTCTAAACGTAGTCAAAACTACTGAGCTCTCACTCTGATTTCTTTGGCGGAAAGAGAAGTATTCTTTTTTTTGCAGCGTGAAAATGTAATAACAACTAATTTATTTGCGGCAGATTAATTAAATCACTTTGAAAAGAACGCTGTTGAGAGAAAATCCAAACACAACATGTGTCGAAGAGCAAATCTACGCAAATATAAACTCAAAGCTTGTCCGCACTACTCTCGCAGAGCAGGAGAGATATCTTAGTGTGATGCATCTTAAAGCATAGACGATCTGTTCCGTGACGCATGTTTCGCGCGAAACTCAGTTTTGGAAGCTAAAAACAAATAGCGTCTTTGAAGAAGTTGAAAATGAGTAAGAAGGATAACGGTAAGACTTAGTGTCATGATGTGTTTGGCTGTAACATGTTAGGTGTCGTATCTGACCCTCATATGGAGGACGGCAGTCGTATGGTTTCACTGAAATACAGTTTGAGCTCAGAAGCTATCACCTTACGTTAGCTACATAGCCCTTATAATAATAAGCTAGCTCTTAAACAATATGAGAGCTCACTCCAAATACGCCCACTTTTACAAAGTACATTTATTTCAAAGAATCGTATATGGGGCGTATTTATATAATGTTAAATAACATAAACCTTCATTGTCTTAAGCTTTTTAAGACCTAACATTAAACATAAACTACGATAATAAGGGCTAACCTAACGCTTCCATTAAAGTGCGTCAAGGGCGTCATTTAAAAACAACCATTAAAGAACAAACAAATGTAGTTGTCATTTCTGGCTATGTTTGAGGTTTGTAGAGTATAATTGTTTGTACGCTGAGTTGCAATTGTTCAAGTTACACCTGTACAATTCAATGCAACTCTTCCATATATTCCTTACTTCGTGAAGTTTATAAAATCCAGTTTCGTTGACATTGTCAGACATGTGTAATTTGAATAATAATTTCATTATTGAGGTTGTATTTTTGCATTTTTGTTATAATGAACTACATTGTATTGAGATGTGTTTATAATAGTTTGGCCTCACTCTTTATAAGCAGAGGGGTATTACAAGTATAAATGAACAACACATTACAGGCACTGAGTGATTAATGTTGATGCATAATGTTACAAATAATTTTGAAATGTTTGTGTCCTTCTATATGACACAGGCACGTCAGTCATCCTTGCATATCTGAATGAGAAGAACCGACCATACAGTTCTCAGGATGTATTTTGTAATTTACAGAAGCAGCATGGATTGGGAAAAACAGTGAGTTAAATACTTGCCACATAAATGTTTTTATATGTGTGTAGCTTACATTTAATGATTGTTTATTGTGATTCACTAGGCAGTGGTCAAAGCTATGGATCTGCTGGCTCTAGAGGGCAAGATAAAGGAGAAATCATACAACAAGCAAAAGATTTATTTCGCTGATCAGGTGAGTCCTGTCATCTGAATACAGTTTTGTCAGGGAAAGGAGGCAGCAAAGGGCCAAAACTGCTGTTTAGATTAATCTTCTGCTGCGTACCTTCCCTACAGTCTCAGTTTAAAGACGTGGATGATGTAGAACTGAAGGCGATGGACGCTCAGATTTCACAGCTCAGCGCAGACGTGCAGTCCATCACCCAGAGCTGCAGACAGCTGGATGCAGGTGTAGTAAACGGCTTATCCTCATCCTATACCAGTTATACTATTCTTTTGAGACAGCCATACTATGAATTGTGTATGACTTCTTATAACATGCGATTCTAAAACTTTTATCATAATTTTTACACACCATACAAAACATTCCTGACTTTTTGTAATATTTATTTCTTAATTTTTGACATACTTACTTTTTTGCAACCTCTTTATAGCATTCTTTGAAGTTCCATTTGTATTAATATAATATACTATGAGTTTTCTGCCTTTATGTATGAATGCAGCATAAGTGCTCGAGTTGACTGCCTGAACTAGCTCGCAGGCTTCGCCCCTTTTCTGTAAATGATATAAATGACTCCTCTCCATGCTTAAGGTACCGTGTTTTTGTTTGAATGCATTATAAAAGGGAATGTTTTACATTGTTTGAAATCTTGGCTCACAGAGGTGAAGGAGCTTAACAGCGCCCTGAGAACAGAGGAAGTGATGTCAGAGATCAAGGAGCTGAAAGCAGAGTGTTCGGGGTACAAAGCGCGTGTGGAGAAAATAAAGTCGGCCACAAATCACGTCACACCCGAAGAGAGAGAGAAGGTAACCATCTCAGAAACATACTCAATATACTTTAATAGATTTTTGCTGTATGGTGGTAAAATGCTCATCATGTTTTATTTACAGGTTTACACAGACCGGAATGTTTACGTGAAAGAGTGGAAGAAGAGGAAGAGACTGGTAATGTCCAAAGAGCTGATTGATTGGTTGACATTTTTTAAGCATTAGCTTCTCAGATACTGTATGTCAATCTGTGTTTCTTCTTTTAATATATGATAGTAAATTAAATATCTTAAAGTATTTTTAATTGGACAAAACAAGCAAACTGAAGAAATCACTATTTTAAAAAAATATTATTGTCTTCACTTTAAAACAAAGAATATATCATAAACTATATATAACGGATGATAAATCTTTGATGAAAATAATAATACATTATTTATTTAGAATAGATGCGATAAAAAAATCCTTTGTAGACTTACAACACAAGAACACGAGCTGTTGTAACTAAACTCCTAAACGTAGCTGTGCTGTTTCTCTCAGGCTTCAGACATGATGGATTCAATCCTGGAAGGGTATCCTAAGAGCAAAAAGCAGTTCCTGGTGAGTGAAACGAGCTGTTCGGACCAACTCTCTGAAACTGAACTTTATGCCACCGTCTACAGCATGTGTGTTTTGCCTTCGTGCCAGTATTTCTTTTTAATCAGTCATTATGGTTGTTTCCTTCGCAGGAGGAAGTTGGAGTTGAGACCGATGAGGACTGTAAGGTGGTCGTTCCAAGTACTTGAAATGTCTAAAAAAAGCTTGTTCCTTCGGCTTAGCCACACTTAGCTGAGAATATAGCTCACACCTCAGAGCAGTACGGGCCACAGTGTATTGTTTATGTATAGTTGTACATCTTTAACAAAAGAATATATATACAAAAGAAGCTTCGAGCGAGACTCAAACGTGGAATTTCTAGATTTACACATGCTTGTCACCTTATAGTTGGTTTATTTGACCCTTTTTAAATAAAAGCCATGAAAGCAATCCTGAGTTCTGAGGAAAATGACATTGAATTAGTTATTAGCTTTGAGAGCTGTATGTTATTTTTCATGTTATAATCCATATTGTTCCCTATTTTTGGAAAACTGTAAATAAAAGACCTTAAGGGATTATGGCAGGTTGTCATGTTTTTCCCTCTTGTTTTGGTACTGTTTCTGGACTATGTAATGCTTCCAAGTTATTACATGTTCATGATAGTACTTGTCGTCAATGAAGTGCCAACAGATATTCTCAAGTTCTTACTCGACTATATTCAAACTATTTAACAGGTTTTTGTAGCTGGATGTTAGCCATTTGTATGATCTGTCCTTTTCAGCTGCACTTCATTTCCATTCTACTTAAAACAGGACAATCGTTTAATGTGTTTTGATTTGTGGATTTCACTTTCAATGTGTATTTACAGTAGATTACATTTATAACACAACAAATAACAAGGCAACAAGACAGTCAACAAATAAATGTCCCTGTGATTAAAGCAACAACACTGACTTGAAATTGAAATATCAAGGATTACATTTCAAACAACTTAATTTTAAGACTGCTTATTGTAGACCACAGAAGATTGCAGAATCGACACTTTTCATTGAACATCTCCTGAAAATGTTTCATAGACATTGAATAACTAACTATACAGAATCTCCTCCCAATGTGCGTTGAAGTTCATATTTTATAAATAATTTTCTAAAATGGTTTATGCTGCCTACATTGCATAACTGTCATCCATGAGATGTAAGCATACATGTCATCTTGTGACAGATACATTAACGAACAATGCACATAAAAGTAAAAGTTTTTCAAACGTAATAGTGTATTCCCGTTTCCAGTTAGGAGAAACCCTCCAGTAGTATAGCATTAGCATGTTGTGCTCCAGAGAGGTATGGCTGACTCACATGTGTGCACTGAAGCCGAGCAGCCATTAGCACCAGGACTTGGCTAATGAGGTTTTTTTTCCTTTAGCCTTCTCTATTTCTATTAGCTAGGTTTAATTACTATTATCAATCTGGGAGAGGAGTCTTGGTTTTGATTTATTTAAGTAGAACTGCGGCCAATTCAAACTATATGCCCTCTACAGTCTACACCTTCTTGTGTAAGTGATGCGTTAAACATATACATTCATTTGAAAACAGTTTTTTTACTTCTGAGTTTGTGTCCCCTTGCATGTCGTAGCAGAGGCTGAAATATGAAACTGTATGTATGTACAGTGAAGGAAGGAAGTATTTGAGCCCTTGCAGATTTTGTAAGTTTAACCACTTGCAAAGAAATGATCAGTCTATAATTGTAATGGTAGGTTAATATAAACAGTGAGAGTAAGAATATCAAAGAAAATCCAGATATTGACATTATATAAAAGAGAAACCCTTGTTGGACAGGCAGAGGTCAGACACTTCTTTAGTTGGTCTCCAGGTTTGAGCACATCACAGGAAGGATTGTGGTCCACTCCTCTGAAGATCCTCTCCTGAATTATTGTTTGTTGCAAGGGGATCAAATACTTATTTCCCACAGTTAAATGTAAATCAATCATCTTTTATATAAGGTCAATTTCTGGATTTTATTTGATATTCTTACTCTCACTTAGTGAGATTAGTCAAATAAACCTACCATTAGAATGATAGACTGTTCATTTCTTTGTCAGTGGGTGAACTTACAAAATCTGCAAGGGATCAAATACTTATTTCCTCCACTGTATACATTCATTTGAAAACAGTTTTTCAAATGAAGTTTGTGTTCCCCCTTGCATTTCAAAGCAGAACAATCAGCAGAGGCTGAAATATACACAACGGTAGGTATGTACAATACAATGAGGGGGGGATTTCTCTGAAAACATGTGACTGCTCAATCCAACCCGACGTCTCGTCTCGGCCCATAGTGTGAGGTTGAGGTAATCCAATTGCAGCCAGGGATTGAGTGTAAATACTGGTGTGGCCTGAGGCTGATTGAAGTGTTGACCCCATGCCGAGAGGCCAGAGCAAGCCCAAAGTCAGTTTGTCGGAGAGTTGAGTCAATAAAGCTGTCCATTGAGCTGCCGGAGCACTCCCACGACAAACTCCCTCAGCGTCTAAGAGAGAACAGAAGAAGCACACAACCTGTGACTCATCATCAACAAAAAGCAACTTTGATGGAGTCTGATCTGCTGTCCCAAAGCGTCTAAAGTCTTCCATACCTGTGGCTCGCAGTGCTCCTCGATCCAGCTGAAGACGCAGGCGGAGAGCTCTTTGAAGCTGCTCACTGAAACAGAGTTGCTGAACGACAGGAACAGGGAGTCCATGATGCTCTGAAAGATGTTGAACTTGACCTGGTCCGACACCTGATCCTCTCCCTGCGCAGGGTGGTTCTGGTGGGCCTTCACAATGTGCTCATAGTTGCTATTTAAAAAGAAAATCACTGCATCTTAAGATATGCGATTCAATTAATAGCAACAACTGATTCCCTAATTGCTTTGAGCAAGTGTCACAAATACAATCAACACCAAGAATTATAGGATATCCTATTGCGTTCTTTTATTGAACTTTTCACTATATGTTGTTTCATTGCTACGATTAAAGCATTTCTATCTCAAGATGTTCTCTCATGTAAAAGATTAACACAATTCTTTGTATTTTATATATTTAATTGATTTGCCTGAGCAGAACAAGTAGGGAGGTCTTAGTTTGCCAGCAATCCTGACAGTAGAATAAATCTTGGGAAAACACATCACTTAGGTTGTTTCAATTCAAACTCAAAGGTTTGACTGTCATATGCACACACTGTAAGCTACAGTGTAGAAATGGCAATGAAAATGTTATGACCCGAGCTCCTCCAACAATGCAACATAGTTATATCATAAAATACAAAATAGTGCAAGAAGTCTAAATCGAATATGATATATACGAGAACAGAATGTTTATGAATCTCACGTTTTCATGATTTTCAGCGCCATCACTTCTTTCCTTAGCACAGTTACTTCCTCCTCTTGCTTCTTCTTTTCTTTATGAAGGAAATGAATGTAGTCGATTGCTGCAAAGAAATACAGAGACGTTTTCCGTGAGGGATTTCTTCACTCAACACAGATTTAATTGTCCATTTGCCAAGAGGTGTTATCCCCATAAACCAAATGCAGCTACTTCCTCTTTTTCACTTTTTGAATGAAGACATTTGAGCAATTGCCGACATCTCTGTTTCAATATTTATATTGATATATGTTTCTTTCTTTTTGTAATTATATATGTCTGTAACTGCTTTGTTCTCTTCAATTGCTGTCTTTTTTGTTTCTTGGTGTAATGTGAGCAGGAACTGTAACCCTGGGCAACAAGCTCATGCATGTTTGTATCACATGACTGAAGGGAGAAGAAAAACAGTGGCTTGACAGGAAAACAACTTTATAATAAAACTCCTTTACTCCATCACTGACCTTCACCCATGTTGTAATAAAGCTGCAATGCAATCCAAGAAATGCATTAACATTATTCCAAACACAAACAATGTTCTGAAGGAAGAGCTACATCTTACTTTTCTGTAGCACGGTGGCCTTGCTGATCTTTTGCGCTCCCACTGCAAAGTCAGACTGCTGCAGGCAGGTTGGTACTATGGACTGGAGGTCATCGTAGCCTTTCTAAAAAAAAAGATAAAGTACTGATTAAATTAAAATATATAACTGTAAAGCTTTTCCGAGCATTGTGAGGTGAGACTTACCTTGATAGCATCCCTGCGTTTCTGCTCAGCCTGCGTGTGCGCTTGTCTCCGCCGATCTTTATACGAGTCCTTATACGACGTCTCATGTTTGTTATCACTGTCTTCATCATCTATTCAAGAATACGTCAACACTCAGATTTAGAAACACGCATCAGACCGCTGAGCAATGCACAACGTTGATATTATTGGTGGACACATAATGAGGATAAAGCATATTTATTTGGACTAAAGCCATAGCAAGATTTTATGGGATTTAAAGATGAATTTATATATTTACTTAAAATGAATATCCTGGAGTTTTAGTTTTTTCTTTCATTACAGAAATAAGTACACGTTGGACCATTATTTTTCATCCAAGCAGAATTCAGAGAAGCTAATTATGTATGCTTCAATAAAGTTCAATCTATGAATAAAATGCACTTTAAACTGGCCTGGCTAGTCATTATTTGACAGATGCAACCCATAAAACCCTGTTTGTAACGCCCGTTATTAAAACAAGAACTGTCCTTTGATATCTTATTAAGAGACCTTTTGAAAGTTTTTTTTATGACACGCTATATCTTGAGATCTTTATTGCGTACTTCACTATGACAATGTTACGGCCTCTTATATCTAGAATGGTTCTACTTGTGCTAACTGCAGTACATGTTCTCCCTTCAATAATGTGAGTTTCACAGTGTTACAAACAGTATACCTGTATTGGGTACTGAAGAGGCGCTTGTCGAGCCGATGCTGTTGGCTCTGGACACAATAGAACCCTTTCTGCCCGTTTCAGCAAAGAAACCTATAGAGCAGGACAGACGACATAAAAGATGTTTCACAGTGAGGCAAGACAAAGATTGACAGAAAGACAAGGTCACTATCACATGGCCAAGAAATGTATTTACTCACTAGGGTCAAAGCCACTGTCACTGAAAGCTCCGTCTGTCTGCAGAGTCATCACAACAGGAGATGGAAAACATATCAATTAGATGAGGAGATTTGGAAACAAAAAGGGCAAACATCGTGATGCCCTAAAAAACACTGACAATAGTCGAATGACCTAGCCTGCGCGATAGACAGTCTAAACCCCCGCTGAGCATTGCCCTAATTACACAAATGATACCAAATCACAACATGCAGGAGGATACAGAGGTGCAGCCAATCACTACTTCAATCACAGATCCACTTTTTGATGTAGGGCACCAAAACACACAAGTAGCTGTAGTGTTTGGTTCCCCCATTCAAGTTGAGTTTGTATCCAATAATTCCAGAAGGTAAACTCTGAGAAAGTACTGCAGTGAAGTGATCAGCCTCTGTATCTGTAAAGCCCTTGCACAAAAGGTGCTATATAAATAACGTCTATTATTATTATCTTTAGGTTTGATAAACAATAGACATTCACTCGAGTTGTTGTACAATGCTGCATTGAATTGCAGTCTCTGGGTCACCTGATGTGTAAGATTTAGACAAATTATATAGTTTGCAATTAAAAAAGTGCTGAATTTTCATTAAATATTCATATGAAATAAAAAACGCAATAAGAATCCTATACAAATGAAAGAGGTGTGTCATACTTGTACAGTGTAGTTATGCAATGCAGCATTTACTTTTGGAGTCATTATTTAACATGATGTGGATGTTATTTAAATGTGATCAGATTTCTCAATTGAAAAAAATGTTTTTGTTGAAAATGTAAAAAAACACTAAAGGCAAAAATAAATAAATACAAATTAAGCAAAAAACTGCCAAATGTTATTAAAGTATTATAAAATAATAAAATAATAACAAGGCATTTCACAACATCACATTCACAACACATCAGTCGTTGAAAAAGATGTACCAAAAACAGGTATTATTTAGTTAAAAGACACCGCTGGATCCAGAGTAGATGTAGAATATCAAACCTTAAAACTAACCTACCGCAGTTGTAAACATAGACCATTTCAACCCTAGGTCTTGCTACATGTTTATTAGACCATAACTACTCTGACCAAAGGTGTATCTCCCTCTACCTCTAACATCATCATATGTATCGGTTCCCCGAATAAAACCCCAAAAAAGGTTTCACATGGGCTCAACATCTTTACCGAAATATTTCGATACAGCTTTATTTCAATAAAAAGAGCTAGATTATTACATACTATCACGTCACAACGCCTGGTAATAGCTTTTGCCATTGCTTCTGACAAGGGAAAGGGATCTAAGTCATATCCTGAGGGCATATACATTGTTCTTGCTTCACACGGTTCACACTATTGTGGTGGGGCTACAAAAACAATGCATTTCTGAGACAATTTAAGGTGCTGCACCACATTTGACTTTTAATGAATATGCACTTCGCTTTCACATGGACGTTAGAAACAATGCAATGTTAAAAAACAAATGTTATTTATTGTGGGTGCAGATACGTGGAACACTAGTTTCCCCTTTCAGGACGATTTGTTTACTTAACGAGCTAACAGCTAATAGCTCTGTGACGTTTGCAAACTGTCACCTAGCTAGCGTTAGCTTTTTAGCTAACAAAGCCCTGCTCCTTCTTCGTGTTAGCAAAACTTCAATTTATAGATATGACATGTATCCACATATCAGTTCCGTCACACATCAGACCTAAGAACTAACAAAAAGTTGTTGTCACCTAACATTACTTACTTTCCAATGATCCTCGGGCGACGTTGTTGGGTCCGTCATTTTGAAATGTAAAATAAGCTCTGCTGCTGCCTTCGAGTGCTTCTCGTATTTCCCACCAAAGTTGCCGAAAAGTGTATAGTTCTTTCAAATATCAGACTTAAAAAAGAACTCCACACAGACCAAACGATGTCAGATAGTAAAAGAGGTTTGCTCTTTGAATTAAAAAAATTGTCCGCGACTAACTTTAATATTATTTCCCCAAATCGAAATTGTTCTTGTACACACGTTTGTCAAGAACAGGTAGGCTTCATCATGAAATGTTACTGTTTGTAATAGTATTAACTAGTAAACCGTTATTTCGTTACAGGGTCCATGTCCTGTGCATTTATTTGCACATATTGACTGTTATATTTAGCTAGGTAGGTTATAACTCTGATGTCGATTAACATTGTTAACGATTTCCGAGGAGACCGCGAAGGCAGCAATTATACATGCAGATGTTGGCTTCAAACGCTGAGTGGCGTTGTTGTACAATCTTTCCTCCTATACCTTGTCGCTCAGGGAAATCTACTCTTACCTGACTTCTACATCAACCTGGCCTAACATGAAGGAAAGTGACTAAAACAAATGTAAACCCATGCAAATTAAACACTCTTTAAGATAAGAATTTTTGGTGCAGTGAAAGTTAATTCATGGGATAACGTTTCTTTTGCCTGTTGGTTCATTTTGCTTTGTTTCTTCTGCACCTGCTGGGTTAGCAATTCTCCTTAAACTTCAACAATCTTTCTGCTTTCCTTCCTGTGCAACATTATTTTACTCTCTATCACCTACCACTATAGTAGTACAAGCACAACAGTTAACATGTTTATTTTCCACCTTGTCCTCCACCCCAGCTTCTGTTGCTGTCATGCACAGGAAGTTACTCTTCTGCTTTTGTGCTTCTGCGGTTTCTGTCTGTGTTACAGAGTGTGTCACACTCAACTCTCCTTCCTCTCACACGCAGCCCTCTCTAGTCACTCTCCAGGAGAGTTCTCGGTCAACACATATAGAGACAAGTGAGTGAAACTAGGTGGGTCTTTTGCTAGAGCAGCAGGCCCCCACAAGGCGTGGTGCCTTATTCTCAAAGGTACTTGAAGACAGAGAGGAACAGGTTGATGGGAGGACAGACAAACCTTCTTTCATCACCCAACCTCCCCTCAGGACTCATGTGGATTTAGTGAGGCTTGGTGTTCAACTCCTAAAGGCCAAAATACTTGGTTTCTTTAGGCCTTCTTGTTGTTGTCAATCAGAGTGATCAGTTTGTGTCACTCTGTTTTGAAGTACACATATTTCTCAGAAGTTTGTTTGTGTTAAGCTTTCCTCCTGGATTACTTGTGGAGATTCGTGATGGGGAATGTGGCCACAGGGGCCCTGGAGCAGGAACAGACTGAGGGCCGAGAGGCCAGAACCTCAGTCGGAGGAGCTTCAGGAATGGGAGAACCCACTCCAACTTTGCAGAAGAAGCAGCCGGCTCCCCCCAAGTTGCCCATGCCCCCAGAGGAGGAGCTGGAGGAGCGCTTCAATGTGGTGCTGGTGAGTGGACAGGCACACACCTTTACTGCACACAAAAATAGAGATGATGCACTTGGTGTATTAACAATAGCAGCTTGGGCTTTGTAATAGAGGCTAAATGTTAGATCTATGAAAATTATGCAGGTATATGATTCAGAGTCACAACTTTGCAATTGCCCTGTTTGAAAACGTGTGGGTTGTGACTGATTTATGCCGCCAAAAAACATTTGAACTAAATACAGACTGTAAGTGATGGCAACATTTCCCATTTTCTTAGATATTTTTAAGAATATCCAAACACTGAGGCCCATTTTCTTTCAGGGCCAGATGGCTACGTTTTAAAAAATGTCTGCTTTAAATGCGATCCAGTGAAGATGTCAATTTGCCAATGTGTGCTTTCAAAAAAGATCATCAATAGCTGTTCAGGGACAGGGTGATTTAGTGCATGCTCAGGCGGCTGGTCCCAAGGGGAAGTTGAGCAACTTATTTACATGAGTTAGACCATAAGACCGGAAAGCAACAGTTCCACCACTCTTTCAACATCCTTGCAACAAGAGGAAAATCCCAAATCTGATGATGAATACTTTAATTGTTTGAAAAACCATTAAGAATAACACATCAAAACGTATATGAACTATATAGAATATTGTATTTGATGATAAAGCACTAAAATGTCAAGGGGTGTCAAGAGCATTTTGACACCCCTCATGCTTTATCTCAGATTTTGTCTTTGGCCTTGACAATTGTATATATAAAGTGCCAACAACCAGCCTAATATGACCATGACATTTTATACCTTAAATAAAATAATCAAAAAAGTGTTGATGATTTTTTTAAATGTCAAATATATAGTTCTTATGTAGGCTACCACATTATATATGTAACTTTGTTCATGTTAAGATTCACTTGACTTTTTCACATATGTTTACAAAACTTCTGAGAGTGTCATGCCACAAGAGGACATGAAATATAAGTGTGGCTTTGCTCTAACGTTAACTATTTCAAAATATCCGTTTGACATGTTTTGCTCGGAAACGGTGGACTGTGCCATTTGTACCTACAACGCCCTCACTGGCGTTGCATGAAAGTATGACCTCATTTCCTCCACCACATATTCAAACTTCAGAGCGAGGCTGTACCTTATTTTATTGTAAGAATTCAGGATTGATTGTTTGCCTAAATAAAACATTTTCCAAACTTAGGGAAATGTATATTACTTTATGTTCATGTAAGTTCATGCAAGTAACATTTCCTTTGTACCACAAAACCCACAACAGGACTCCTCCCTTCCCCCACCAAAGATGAAGCTTTATTTCACGACCAAACCACTGCTTGAATGTACACACTTATATATGTTATATTTAGGATACACACCCAGTATCAACTGATAATTCGTTATAATCATGACTTTTCTTTGTATTAGCTGCATAACCAATGACAGGTGTAGAGCGCAGCAGTGTTGTGAGTGTAAAGGAAGATTGTATCAAAAATCTACTGTGAGCAAAACATAGAAGTATTTAATTAAAGGCTTTTCATTTAAAAGAAAGTGATTGAGAACCCTACTTGCTCCAATACATGTTTCAAGTATCTTGCACTTTAATAACTAATAACTAAAACTCCCCAATTAGGTTCTGAATAATCCATAATACTTAATGTGGGTTCATTAAATAATTCAGTTCTTACAGCAATTTGAGTGGGGAAATAACCTTTTTCTATCAGTCAAATATTTAACAGTAGGTGGAGCGAGATAAGTGAAACTGCCCTTTTTGCGCAAAATGTCAACACTTTAGTTGGTTGAGTCAACTGGCACCAAAAGGTTCTGGATGTGGGGAGTTCTTGATGCATGTAGAATACCATACAGATTATAGAAAGATTATATGAATTATGAATCTTGGTTAGTCCTATGACAATTTTGCCATACTCTTATTAAAACAATGCCAGTAACAAAGTAAAGACACAACAAATATATACAAAATAATAAGTGTGTAATAATGTGCCTTGTTTCAACAACTTTATCTTTACTAAAGGTTGCATGGTGATTTAAAAGTTGACATCATTATTGCACCACCACATGTCAGTTCCTTCATTTCTTAGAAGTTGACACGAGTTAGCGTTGGTGCGTGGTGCCTACTGACAACCATCAACACATGCATGCAAACATGAGTCATCTGTATTTCCGGCAGGTATACACCCTTTAGAAGGTACATCTGTGGTTTGGTTGGGTTGAAATTTGAATATTGTTGCCTAAGCAAGAAAGATAAAAAGATTACAACTTTTAAATGTTGTGCTGAATTACACTGGAGGTGTTCAATTGTAGAAAACAAAGCTCAAATTTTTTTTTTCATCCAGAGTCATATTCTTGCATATATTAATGAGCGTCTTTCTGTCTTTTTCAGAGCTACATGAACTTGCCTCCAGACAAACAAAAGCTGTTGAGTCAGTATGACAATGACAAGAAGTGGGAATTAGTCTGTGATCAGGTAAGAACTTGTTTTTTTTTTACAGATAAAGAGCTGCTTTCACAATAAAACCCAACATATATGTTGCAAAATAATCATGAGTCAGGAAACTTCTTCACTGAGATAGAGTTGACACAAAGTACATAAAAACCCAAATAGGGTATGTGGTAAAGAGCAGAGTGCAGTGTGAAAACCTTGCAGCACAGTTTCTGTGGTGACAACTGATGGCGTCGGCATGGAAACAGTGAGCATTTGGTGCCTGTTGTGTTAACAAGGGGGGGCAATAATAGCTTCAGATGTGCCATCTCAGTCCAGTCATCTCAGTGTTGCTGATAAAATTGAATCAAAAGGTACTTTGACTCTAAAACGTCTTCCTCAGGAACGATTCCAAGTGAAAAGCCCCCCGTCCAATTACCTGAATAAGATCAAGAGCTTCTACCAGGATCAAGGAGGGGTGTCTCGCAGGGTCAGTGTAAACGACCACCTTCTTTTCATATTTAACAAGTCTTTAATTTTCTATCTGAACAAAAAGGATGTCTTAATTCTCACCTCTTCTAATACTTTAGCTAAAGAAAAAGATTCAGGAAGCCACACAGGTCCTGAAAGATCTGGAGATATCCCTTCGCACCAATCACATTGGGTGAGCATTAACAGAATGATGATGTTCAAACACTCTGTTTTCCCTGTTATTGCCGCCAACTATCAATCTGTGGAAGAGATAGGGATGACAGGAATATCTTTTGGTTTACCAATGTGCTCAGCAAAAGAAACACATTTTACTCTGTTACAAACCAGTGGCAACCTCCAGGTTTGAAAACTGGTTGCAACAAGAAGTGATATTTTATTGTAGTCTATGAAAAGATGATCCCACTTCTCACTTCATACATTTATTACCAAAGTTAACATGTATAAGTCTTCTTCAAGACAGCTAGAGGCTTATTTTGTAAATAAAAAAATGGAAAGGGCTTGTAAATGTTGAAGAAATACATAAACAAATATATTATTAATGTTCAGTTGGAGTCAGTTGGAGTACACACACATAAACACAAACGCACATGAAGTCAACAAAGTACTGGATTGAGCAATAGCGCGGTTTATTGATTATGAATTCATCATTTCTCACGTAATGTTATTTCTTCCTTCTAAAGAAACAAACTCTTGCTTCACGTCTAATCTAAGTGCAACATCTTTAAGATATATTTACAAAGCATTTTTTTATCAGTGTTTCATTCGTTCACCATCCTTTTTTTAAAAACGGTGGTTCCTTTTGTAGATGGGCTCAAGAGTTTCTCAACGAGCAGAATAAAGGTTTGGATGTCCTGGTGGAATACCTGTCCCATGCACAAAGTGATGCCTCGTGAGTACCAGTGTGGTTTAAAAACCCTCCGAAAATGACGATGCTCTTACAAAGTGACTATTTATCACAATGTATCTTATATTAACCCTTTAGGTATGACGCGGATAGTGCTGAAAATGGTGGCAGCCTGTCAGAAAGAAGAATGCCAGCAGAGAGGTCGATGGAAGACTTGACCAAGAGCCCCAGGAGCTCTCACTCACATGGCATGACCAGAGCTGCTCGGGCTCTGACTGTGAGGTAAGAATCTCCAGACATGAACCATTAGTGAGGAACAGCAACTATGAGGGTTCCAGTACTCAGAAATGTATAATTAATGATACATATAAAGTGCACTCCACATCAAGATTTCCTACTAAAGAGGAACGTTCAGCTTCTAAGGTTGCATGCATAGTCAGACAATAGACTCACTAGGCAGAAGTGGTGTGGTGGTGCCGTATGACAGAGGTCATGCCATATCATTTTCTTAGTTCAAGGTTCAAGGTTTTTATTTTGTCATACGAACATAGCTACAGTTTAGTTATTGACGATGGGGGACAATCTGTAGTCACAGGCTCCTTCCAACCAGTGCAACACAATAACACAGATAAACAGAAACATATAGTTCAAGTAAATACGAAAAGAAAAATAGTTTAAAAAAAGTGAAATAGTGCAATAAGAGTCTATATGCAAGTTATTGGAATATGATATATTAGATAAATAGATACATAATTTCTAAGCAGCAGATGAATGTTATGGTTGTTTCAACAGTTCAGGTGTTTAACAGATGTTGTTTCAACAGTTCAGTTGTTGTGGTGCTGAACTGTGAACTGATCGTTTCCTTTTTGCAAATAACCTGTTTCGCAAGATCTACAAAACAGTTAAACAAATTCTCTCATAAAAAGTGAAAAACTGAAAGATCAACCAACCGGAGAAAAATACAATTTGAGACGACCAGTGTGGCAAGCTAAAGGCCTTTTTCCCTGAAAACATAGAAACCATTTAAATAAAGAGTACCAATACGTTATTTCCATGGTCTAGGAAAGTTAAATCAATATTTTTAAAAATAAGTTTTGCAAGTAAGAAACCAGTGACATAAATCTGGAGATGCTTTATACACAATGATTGATTTTGTGAATGCACAGGATGTTTATTTACTTTTTTCATCCCCAAATGTGCTTTTTTCTATATATAGTGTCATTTTTATGACATAAAATGTTCCCATATTCTCAGAACATTGCCTTTGGTGATGTATAACACCTTTTTCCAATTCAATGTCCATGGAGCCATTTCAAACGTACTAATAACAACTAAATTAGAGATTTAGCACCCTAGTTCTTTTGGATTTGGGTTAGGGTTGAGAAGTGTTCAATTTCTCACACTGCATTCATTCACACTATTTGTTGAGTTTTTTATTCTTGGTTTTCCTTTCCATCTGATACTACATTTCAGCTGTCAGACAAACACAGTGGATATCCAAAACAGCCCTGGGAGTGTTGTTATAATTGGCAAACTGCTGTTCTGGGCCTCAACTTTAAACCATTTGCACATACAGCCGCTTCACCTTCTCTTTCCCTCTCCTCAAGAAATGTATTAATGTGTCTATTCACCTGTTATCCCTCCACAGAATAAGCTCCACTATTGGGAACAAGATTTATAAGAAATCCCATTCATCCTACCAGAGAGATGATGTGCATGTGTGCATAATGTGCCTGCGAGCCATCATGAACTACCAGGTAAAGCCTCCTAATCTGATTCCCTTACAGTGCAGTATTTGTCCAATACCTAAAGTTTTGCATAAAAACATGCTCTCAAACAAGTCGTTTTTTAGCCAGTGAGCTGACCAAACCAATGTTTTTCTCAATGCTGTTTCACTGTGCTTGGTAGAAGTAAAACACATTCTGAAATCAAACTACCGGTAGTTGCTTTTATAATGTTGTTTTTCTCAAACCAAACACAATCATGTTTCCTGCATCCTTAAACACAGCAGCTCTCTTGGGCACCAGCTGTTTAAGCTTTCCTTCTGTTTTCAGTCTGGTTTTAACCTGGTGATGACTCACCCATGCTGCGTGAACGAGATCACCCTCAGCCTCAACAGCAGGAATCCCAGGTGTGTGCATCTGTGTGAGAGAAAGTGTGTGTTATCTGTGTGCCTGTATCCCTCTCTAACCCCTTCCTATGCTGCAACAGGACCAAAGCGCTTGTGTTGGAGTTGCTGGCTGCAGTGTGTCTGGTCAGAGGAGGACATGACATCATTCTGTCTGCTTTTGACAACTTCACAGAGGTTTTTAAAGATATTTATTTTACTGTTTTGACTCTGAACGTTGTTTGTTCAGGCATACCGTTGTCCTAGACTTCCTCTATTTTATAACTCATGTTGTGACTGACACATTCCAAGCCTCACATGCACTTTGGGGATAATTTTAGCACTTATAGAGCATGTGGGTGTGATTGCAAAGGCCATTCAAGGGTAAGACATATATCCTATTTGTGTATCTTAGATCAGCTACGTAAAGGATATCACCCTTCCGCCCCCCTGTGGGCAACAATTAAAATGCATGTTTCCATTTCTTTCTCAGGTGAGCAGAGAAAGGAACCGCTTTGAGAAGTTGATGGAGTACTTCATCAATGATGACAGCAACATTGACTTCATGGTAGGCCCACACATTTTCGACCTAACACTGGCTGATTTCTTTATTAACAAATAAAGGGACCTTTAAATGATTGATGTCATTGAGTCTTTACTGTCCTTATGTTTCTCTCCAGGTTGCTTGCATGCAGTTCATAAACATTGTGGTCCATTCAGTGGAGAACATGAACTTCCGTGTTCATCTGCAGTTCGAGTTTACTTACCTCGGATTGGACAAGTATCTTGGGGTAAGTAACAATTATATCTTGGGGGTCAGTGAACACAGAATGGGGAGCATTTATCAGCTAAACAGGCAGATCATTCCCAGAGGAGATGGTACAGCAGAGACCGAAAACAGAGATACAAAAAAGGTGATATTTGTTACCAGATACTCCAAATGAAAGCTTATGTTGCACAGGAGCAACATAATGTGGTATTAAGCTTTGTTTGCTAACATATTAGCCATTGAAGGTGTTTTCACATAAACACATCGTTTATGCATGTCATTACCAGTGTTTCCCATCTGGTTAGTACTAATGCCCTTTCTCTTCCTTATTTATTAGGATGTTGCTGCTGCATGCTTATCCAGTTTCCTTTTTATTGCATTGATCAAATAATGACTTCCCTTCTTAACTAGAAGCAGATAAAAGATTAGTCAATTCATCGTTCAACAAAAACTAACCTTTGTTTATTGAACAATTATTTTTTTAACTTTTTCAAATAGGAATGTTCTGGTTTAAGCTACTTAAATTATGATTTTCTGTGTTTTCTAATATTGTTAATTGAATATTTTGGATTTTGGACCGTAGTCTAATAATTGATCTCTCCCTGGGAAACTGAATTTGAAATTTTACAGAATTTTCAAACATTTTATAAACAAATCACATAATCAATTAATCTGGCGAATGTAATCAATGATGAAAATAATAAATGAGTTGCAGTCCTTACAGTATTAACTGCTAAAAACAGGTACATACAAATGTATCAAATAACTGAATTTGTCTAGTTTCTGTAATTCAAAAATATTCTATTATCCCAATATAAAGTCCAACTGAGTTGACCCCATTATTGCCATATTTATTTGTTAAATAATTGTCTGTGTCTGTGTGTTAGCGTCTGAAGCAGACAGAGAGCGAGAAGCTGCAGGTTCAGATCCAGGCCTACCTGGACAATGTGCTGGATGTTGGAGCCCTGCTGGAGGACGCTGAGAACAGGGGGGGGGTCCTCGAGCATGTGGACGATCTGCAGGAACACAACGTACAGGTCAGCTATTCAAATGAAAGACAAATTGCATTCTTGATCAGATAATGTGATGTTAAAGCGATGACCTCTTGGTTGCAGCTGGGAGCCCGGCTTGAGGAGATTGAGAACCAGAGCACGGAGAAGATATCTGAACTTGACACTCAGCTCATGCAGGCCACCAAGGAGACGGAGCTGCTCAAAGTAAGTGCCCCCCCGTCACACCAACACACTTTAATGAGATTAATTAGACAGCAAGGTGGGCCATTCTCACAGTGATTCATTATAATGAGGTCAAAGGAGTGGCAGTTCACTTTATTTTCATAATCATGATATGAAAGTAAAATCTAATTATCTTTAATGTGAAAAAAGAAAGATTTGCACTTGTCAAATCAATCTTGAAATGACCTTGCATTTGACCACTTCTATGGAAGGCAATTGAAATACCATAACAATTATTTGAGATGGAGATTACATTTTACGCAATAATGATTCTGTGAGTGAAATACAGGACTCTGAAATGGAAGACGTGTTGTTGAGGTGTGTGTGTGTGTGTGTGTGTGTGTGTGTGTGTGTGTGTGTGTGTGTGTGTGTGTGTGTGTGTGTGTGTGTGTGTGTGTGTGTGTGAGATAGGAGAGCCTGCGGCAGTCCTGCTCCCAGGTCAGTGCGCTGCAGCAGAGGGAGAGGGAGCGGGAGCTGGAGCGGGAGAGGGAGAAGGACCGGGAGCGCCTGAGCACCTCCGCCCCCCCCACCTCCTCAGAGCTGGAGCAGAAGGTCCAGGAGCTGCAGGACCGGGGGCTGCTCCGCCTGGGACGCAGCGCCTCCGGGGGGCTGGACATCCAGGTGGTGCCTGTCACCGTGGTGGAGTACATCCACACCCCCGCACTCCCAGCCGCCCAGCCTGGTGTCTCTGTCACTGATTCTGCTTCCCCACCCCCTCCTCCTCCTCCTCCTGGTGTTCCAGACGGGCTGGCCTCTCCGACTCCTCCTCCTCCTCCTCCACCCCCTCCAGGAGCAGGACCACCACCCCCTCCTCTCCCACCTGGCGCCGGACCCCCACCTCCACCTCCCCTACCTGGTGCTGGACCCCCACCGCCGCCTCCTCCGCCCGGTGGT